ACACCTGTAATCCCAGCAATTTGGGAGGCCGAGGGGGGCAGATCACCTGAGGTCAGGAGTTAGAGACCAGCATGGTCAACATGGTGAAACCCCGTCTCTACCAAAACTACAAAAATTAGCTGGGCGTGGGGGCAAATGCCTTTAATCCCAGGTACTGGGGAGGCTAAGGCAAGAGAATCGTTTAAACTCGGGAAGTGGAGGTTGCAGTGAGCCGAGATTGTGCCGTTGCACTCCAGCCTGGGCAACAAGAAAGACACTGTGAAAAAAAAACAAGCTGATAAGTATTACTCAGTAGACCTAGATTGTGTTTTAATCTCTTGCACTATCTCCTTATTGTTGTACAAAATTCTCTATTACTCTGTGCCTTGGTTTCTTCATTTGCAAAAGGGAACTAGTAATAGTACCTACCTCATGCAGCTGTTTTGAGTGTTTAATGAACTAATGTTTATAAAGCACTTAGAACCCCATCTAGTATATTGCAAGTGCTCCATAAATGTTAGCTCTTCTTACCTCTTACTAGGTAGCTTTGTTAAATAACTCATATAAGTATTTAAGTGTTTCCTCTCTACCTCACACATATACCAGTACTCAAAGGTTTATATTAAGGGCCAAATCAGAATTTGAAGAAACTGTTTAAAATGTCTTATATGGCTATAAATCTTCTAACCTCAATTTATTCTGGTTCACTTTTGATAGCTGTAACCTAGAATTTTTTTTTTTTAATTTAAAACCCCAATTCCACGGGTTTTATGATTAGTCCTCTTTTAGGACCTATGTCTCCTAGGCAAATGGTTACTTGATTTTATATTTTCTAAATATTCCTGAAAATGTCAAATTAATTATTTGTAAAAAAATCTAAATATTGATATATACATTCATAAAGTATTAAGTTTTTTTAACTTTCTGAGGGCTTATGAAACAGATTTTATTATAACATTATTTGAAAAATAATTTACTGAGAATATTCTCATCTCTTTTTAATTGTTTGATTAACGGTTTTATGGACCCATGTCACTTCTTAATTCTAAATAGAATGATTCTACATTTAATCTTCAAAATAGTCTTGAATAGTTTCTCTTTTCTCACATTTCCACTTTACTTACTTCTGAGTTTTTATTTCCACGTCTGGGCAGAAAGCCAAAGGTGGTTAGGCAGAACTATTTAGTTCTACTTGAGTCAAAATTCAATTGCAGCTTCATGAATAAGACTCTTTGGATCCAAGCATCGCCCAAAATCTAGCCCTTAGGATACTGATTTCCCTAGAGAGCTAGATAGCTTAGGAAACTCGGAAGCAAATAACATGAGTCTAAAGATGTGTGCCTAGCATTATGCTTACCATTTTTCTAATATATAAACTTAATTTAAACCTACATAAATTAAAATACATTGAACTCTAAAAATATTAAGCCACTGATATTAGCACTTATGTTAGAAAGCCCAGTGTGAAGTGGCTAAAAAAGAGGAGATTGGGCTGGCAAAAAGACTACATATTTTTGAAAACAAAACAAAACAAAACCTATTTTCTTCCAGACTGACAGTTCTAAGGTGATCGAATTTCTAAAACGAGACATGCTCTGCCATATTTCATAGGGATCTATAGCAATATAATCTGAGCTTTTCTGATAGTTGCTGCAGGAAACTTTGAAGCTGAATAATAAGTTCCAAATTTGAGCCCTCCAAATTTCAGATACAGAAGCTGATTTTCTTACAGTAACCAAAAATGGACAATTTCTTAAAGACAGGTTAACATTAGATAATAAAATAGCCAGAAAGCCTACTGATTACATTTTAAAGGATGTTGTCCTTTCCACATGAAAAGACATCTGTCATTTCCTAACCAGTTCAGCCCTCATCCTCAGCATTTATCCTCTGGGAAAGAGATATTATAAGAAGGGTGGGGTTTTTTTTGTTTTTTGGGGTTTTTTTTTGCTTTTTTTTCTAGTATAGACTCAATTCAAAGAAGGTGCAATGGTTTTACTGTAGCGTTGCTTTATGCTTTGAGAAGTCCAGTGACATATAGATTTCCCACTATTATGTAGCATCTTGTTTTTGTGTCTCAGAATAAGATTTACTTTAAAATTGTGCCTTTTCTTGTTTAAATTTCTTTTTTATGTTAAACTTTTTTCAATTAACATGTACTTATTGTTAGAACATTCAATGTACAGTGGTCACCTCCTTGTTTTGATCACACAAGTGATACAATCTGTCTCTTTTTATGTGTTTTTTACTGATAAGTTAGATTTTTTGGCATACTCCTTGCTCTGTAGTTTCATTCTCCATGCTGCTATTAATATCCTCTGCCATGTGTGTTCATGCCTATCCACAGGAGGTTAGAAGATTTCACACCTTAGCAATATGCTCTGCATACCCTTCTAACACCTTATGCCTATGAGAGGCATGGGGTTGTACTGCAATTCCACTTACTCTCTGTTCTAGAAAGTATGATGAATTTTGCAATATTTACATCACCACACCTATCCTATATTTCTACCCAGCTTTTCTTCTTTTACTCATACTAAAATGGAAGAAGCATCCCTATTACTTTCAATGGGAAATTTCTACAACTGCCCTGGAATCCAATTCTTTTCACCTTCTCATGAGTTTTACCATTTTTGATAGTCCCCTTTTTCAAAAGCATCATTTCTTTCAGCAAAGACAATGCTTTTTATTTCTCATATAAAAGAAAATAATTTGTTGAACTCACTTTTCTGATGACATAAAATGCTTTTTTTTTTTTTTTTTCTGCTGTTCATTCAGGAAAAGATATCGATCAATTGTCTTGACTCATGGTCTTTGTATCTTCTCTTGAAGCCACTGTAATAAATCTCCAATCCTTTGATATTTTTTCTGATGTTATTCTTGACAAGTTAACTATTAATAATACTGTCCATCTTGCCAAATCCAATTAACCCTCACTAACCTCAATCAATCTCCTAACAGACTTCACCACAGTTGTTAGCTCCTTCCTTCCTGGTAAGATATTTCTTGGCTGCACGCCACTCCCCCTCCCGGTTTTCCCTCTCTCCTTTGGCTGTCACCATCTCTGAACAGATATTGGCCTGCTCTATACTCAGTAGGTTGTATACTTTAGTGCTCAATCTTTTATTTCTTTTCTCTTACAATTCTGTTCCAGATGAGATGATACCATTCCCATTACCTTACCTTTATGCTCCTATGTTGTCTCAAAGTTATATTTCCTGTTTAGAAAGGACAATTGAACTCCATACCCATATTTGACTTTTGCTTTTTATTCCACGTGGGTATCTAATGGGCATTTAAGGCATAATCATTCATTTTTCCCAAATTACCTTTCCCTAACTCTTTTTATCTACCTCAGTAAAGGGGCCTATCAATTAAATAGTAGGTCAAACACACACATGCAAATGAAGTCACCTGTGATTTAATTGCTGTACTAATGCCACTTCAACAAAAAGTCTATGAATTGCATTTCATATATAGCAATATGTTATATACTTCTTTCCATTATATTCTATCTTTCCATCTTTGTCCAAGTTGACAAAGAATTTGTTTATAAATTGTTTTCAAGTTTCTACAATCTATGATAAAAAGTAGCCACTGTTATTTTTCAGAACATGAATTAATCTTTTTATTTTTTTGAATTTGACATTCTTCCCATTGCTTTCACAAAAGAGTAAAAACTCTTTGCCTTGTCCTACCTTGTCCTAACTCTTGGACATTCATGTCATTCAGTTTGCATAGCCACATTTACATAGATTTGTTTTCTAACCAATTCAAACTTTTTATTTAATTTGGATCTTTGCATCTTGGTTTTCTCCATTTCCTATGTTCTTCCCTAGCACTTTTCACATAATTAGTCCATTTCATCTTTCAGGTCTAGATAAAATATTACTTAAGCTTAGATTTAAAAAGAGAAATAAGCATTAGAGGCTTTAGGAGAAAAGAGAATATTTCTGTCCTTAAATAGTTGTAGAAATAGTCTGAAGCTTTTCTAGAGCATATGATAATTGTTTAATAGTATTTATTCATAGATATGTCAATCAGCTGTTGCTAAATAACACATAACTCCAAAACCCAGGAGTCTTAAAAAAAAGCTACGTCTGACTATACTGTATGTGTCAATGGGTTAGCTGAGGGCCAGCTGAATTAGGCTAGCTTTTGATGTCAGTTCTGTTTATCTCAGGGGCACTCAATCATGCACCTGCACATTTACTAGGTTGATCTACGCTAGGTTGGGAGCCTTAATTGGGACAACTTTGCCCCAATTAAGGTCTTACCTTAATTCCTCCTGCTAGGACAAGTTAATTAGCCCAAGTATGCTTTTCTTGTGGCAGTGGCATAGCATACTAGGAAACATACAAAGTCTCATGAAACCTAGGCCCAGAAGGAAGACAGACACGATCACTTTCAGCTCATTCAATTACAAAAGTAAGCTGAAATCTAACCCAATATGAGAGAATCCTGCAAGATTACATGAATTGAAGAGGGAAAATAATTTGTGGCCTGTAATTCAACCTATCTTTATTTTTTATCTCATTCTTTGACTGAACAAGGGTTTAGTTGAACTGTGATGGAGGTACAATGTTAATAAATATAAATGTTTTGTTTTTCATTTTATATTTATCTTTAAACCTTAGCTACAATGAAATTTCAAGATAAATTTATCTCTGACTTCAAGGATTCTAATTTATTTTTTGGATAATAGCAACATATTATAGGTTTCTAAGAGGTGAGTTCTTTTGGTCTCTCCATTATTAATCCCTATGTTTCTACTATCTACTTTTATTCATGAAACTTGGTAAGACCTAATAAAATTATTCTTTGAATTAGTAATTGAACTTAGAATTAAAGACTGACAGATAAGAATAATTGATATAAGTTCTATAAAAATATAAAACTGCCATGTAATCAAATATAGAATATTTGAATATTTTAATGTATTTAAATATAATACTTCTCTTGGTTCAGTTGTATTTTCTTCATTATAACATCAAGTAAAAAATTCTCTTTTTTTTCTCTAGATACTTCATCAACTACAATGCTGAAGATGACAGATTTTTCAACATTGATGCCAATACTGGAACCATTAAGACTACAAAGGTTCTTGACAGAGAAGAAACTCCATGGTACAACATCACAGTCACTGCTTCAGAAAATGGTAAACTACCTCATATGTCATAGTAAAAGATGTCACTTGTACAAGAAGACTTATACTGAAATTTCGTTAAGAGCAGGGCTCTCATAATCTTTATGTTTGATATCAGGATCTAAGAGAGTAAGCGGAATGTATTAGATATAACTTATTATCAGAGAGTAAGCGGAGTGTATTAGATATAATTTATCCTTATCAGATAGCATGAATAAGTCTTGTACATTCCTCCTTACTGTAATTCTGACACGGTGATGGAAAATTGGCGTCACAGAACTCTTATGCCTCATCCTTGAGTCAAGGGCATTTGGTTCTCCTTCTAATTGGGAGACTTGCTTTTTCATTTGCTTTTGCCGTACTTAACCTATCAAGTCTTTGGAAGAAGGGTACCTCATATGTGTGGTAGTTTAGGGAAAAAGAAAGAAATAAAAATATATAATTGCACATTGATTTTTTTGTCAATGTAACACCTCTGCTCAAGTTTCAAAAACAATTATAGAACTTACAGTAAAAGAATAATTCTTGGAATTTCAACAGCCAGATCTAGGCTCTCTTCAAGTACATGATCTAAAGCTGAGGGTAACTCTTGTTCTACCTCCACCCAGAATATTCCATTGTGATAAACACCTAAGCTCAGGAAACAACATACAAAAATACGTATCCATAATACTGCTGGGATCATAAAGGTAGATATGACTGTGTTAAATGAAATTAGAATATAATTCTAAGAAAATGAATCCATCTTCATAACAATAAAGTTTTTTAACATATTCATAAGTAGACCAAAGGTACCAATTATCCTCACTTTAAAAGTGATGAAGAGTTTATATATATATGTAGGAAATGTTTTGATGTGTTCATGAAAAACCATTAATATATTAGAGATTAAGAACACTTCACATTTGAAAATAGTGCCATGTAAAGTAAAATCACGTTCTGTTTTTCTTTCGGAGGATCTAAAACATTAAAAATTGTAACAGCTTCATTGATATATCATTCATATAGCATAAAATGTACCCTTTTAAAGTGTATAGCTCAATGGTTTCTAGAGTATTCATGGAGTTGTACATCCAGTACCACAACCAATTTCAAAACATTTTTATTACTCCAAAAAATAATTCTGCATTACTTAGTCATAATCCCCCACACTCTCTCACTTTAATTCAGGAAGCCATTAATTTACTTTCTCTCTGTATAAATTTGCCTGCTATTGCTTTGTTATATAAAAGAATCATGTAATAGGTAGTCCTTTGTGACAGGTTCGTGTCATTGAGCATGGTGTGTTAAATGTTTATCCATATTATAGTATGTGTCATCAGTACTTAATTTTTTATTGCCAAAATTGTTCTATTGTATTGATGTATCACATATTTATCCATTCTTTACTTGACAAACATTCATCTGGTTTCCATTTTTTTTCCTAATATGAATAATATTGCTGCAGGCATTGGTGTGAAAGTAGTGGAAATGTTTCCATTTCTCTTGAGTATATGCCTAGGAGTGAAATTGCGGGTAACTCATACGGTAATTCTATGTGTAGCCATTTGATGAACTGGCCGATTGTCTTCCAGAGTGGATGCACTGTTTTACATTTCCGACAGCAATATTCCAATTTCTTCACATTTCCACCAACATATATTCCTATCTGTCTTTTTATTATAGCCATTCTAGTGGTGTGAGGTGGTATTGCACTGTAGTTTATGCATGCTTCTATTGCCCTTAATTATATAGCAATCATGAGGCTATTTCAGTGTTTTTTATTTTACTTGGATTTTGGTGTCTACAAAATTAGCTCAAGTGACTTTCATTTGGATTGGTTTTTCAACATAATATCTCTGTAAAAGTAACTTTTCACTAATTCATTTTAAAGGGGTGCTCTAAAGAATCCATGAGTGAGTTCAATTGCAATCACTTCTGGTTATTTTCGTCTTCAAAATAGCCAGATGTTAGCAATCGTGGATCCTTAGTAACATAAGAACAAATTAAATGGTGATTAAATAATAAGGACTCATTAAAAATTAGTTAAGAAATAAAGGGATGAATGGAAAAATATATCCAAGAAAAAAATTATGAGGGCTGAAATGGTTTGATTGTGTCCTCACCCATATCTCATCTTGAGATGTAGCTCACACAATTCCCACATGTCATCGGAGGGACCCAGTGGGAGGTAATTGAATCATGGGGGCCAGTCTTTCCCATGCTGTTCTCATGGTAGTGAATAAATCTCAGGAGATCTGATGGCATTATGAAGGGGAGTTCCCCTGCACACTCTGTCTCTTGCCTGCCACCATGTAATATGTGACTTTGCTTCTCCTTTGCCTTCTTTCATGATTGTGAGGCCTTCCTAGCCATGTGAAACTAAGTGCATTAAACCTTTTTCCTTTATAAATTACCCAGTCTCAGGTATGTCTTTGTCAGTAGTGTGAAAACAGACTAATACAGTAAATTGATACCAATAGAGTGGGGTAGTGCTGTAAAGATACTTGAAAATGTGGAAGTGACTTTGGAATCGGGTAACAGTCAGAGGTTGAAACAGTTTGGAGGGCTCAGAAGAAGATAAAAAAAAGTGGGAAAGTTTGGAACTTCCTAGATACTGAGAGTGCTCGGAAGACAGGAAGATGTAGGAAAGTTTGGAACCTCCTAAAAACTTGTTGAATGGCTTTGACCAAAATGCTTATAGTGATATAAACAATAAAGTTCAGGCTGTTGTGATCTCAGATGGAGATAAGGAACTTTTTGGGAATTGGATCAAAGGTGACTCTTAATGTGCTTTAACAGAGACTAGCAGCTTTTTGCCTCTGCCCTAGAGATCTGTGGAACTTTGAACTGGACAGAGATGATTTGAGGTATCTGGTGGAAGAAATCTCTAAGCGACAAAGAGTTCAAGAGGAAGCAGAGCATAAAAGTTTGGAAAATTTACAGCTTGATGATGAGATAGAAAAGAAAAACCCATTTACTTGGGAGAAATTCAAGCCTACTGCAGAAATTTGCATAAGTAACAAGGAGCCAAATGTTAAAAACCTAGACAATGGGAAAAATGTTTCCAAGGCATGTCAGAGATCTTCACAGCTGACCCTCCCATCACAGACCCAGAGACTTGCACGGGCTGGGTCAGGGTCCTCTGCTGTGTGTAGCCTAGGTACTTGGTGCCCTGCATCCCAGTCACACCAGCTGTGGCACAAAAAGGACCAAGGTATAGCTTGGGCAGTGACTTCATAGGGTGCAAGCCCTAAGCCTTGGCATCTTGCACATGGTGTTGAGCCTGAGGGTACATAGAAATCAAGAACTGAGGTTTGGGAACCTCCTCCTAGATTTCAGAGAATATATGGAAACCATTAGACATCCAGACAGAAGTTTGCTGCTGGGGTGGGTCCTCATGGAGAACCTCTGCCAAGGCAGTACAGAAGGGAAATGTAGGGTGCAAGCCCCCACACAGAGTTTCCACTGGGGCACTGCCTAGTGGAGCTATGAGAAGATGGCCAACATCCTCCAAACCCCAGAATGGTAAATCCTCTGACAGGTTACACTGCGCACCTTAAAAAGCCACAGACACTCAACGCCAGCCCTTAAAACAGCTGGGAGGGGTCTTGTACCCTGCAAAGCCACAGGGGTGAACCTGCCCAAGCCCATGGGAGCCCACCTTTTGCATCAACATGATCTGGATGTGAGACATGGAGTCAAAGGAGATAATTTTGGAACTTTAAGACTTGACTGCCCCGCTGGATTTCAGACTTACATGGGGCCTGTAGCCCCTTCGTTTTGGCCAATTTTTCCCATTTGGAATGGCTATATTTACTTACTTAATGCCTGGATCCCCATCGTGTCTAGGAAGTCACTAATTTGCTTTTGATTTTCCAGGCTTATAAGCAGAAGGGACTTGCCTTGTCTCAGATGAGACTTTGGACTGTGAACTTTTGAGTTAATGCTGAAATAAGTTAAGACTTTGGAGGATCGTTGGGAAGACATGATTGGCTTTGAAATGTGATGACATGAGTTGTGGGAGGGACCAGGAGTGGAATAATATGCTTTGGCTGTGTCCCCACACAAATCTCATCTTTAATTATAGCTCCTGTAATTTCCACGTGTTGTGGGAGGGAGCAGGTGGCAGGTAATCGAATCATGGAGCTCATCTTTTCCATGCTGTTCTCATCATAGTGAATAAGTCTCATGAAATCTGATAGTTTTATAAAGGGGTGTTCTGCACACACTTCCTCTTGCCTGCTGCCACGTAAGATGTGACTTTGCTTCTCATTTGCCTTCCACCATGACTGTGAGGCCTCCCCAGCTTCAGATGTGTCTTTATTAACAGCGTGAGAACAGACTAACAGAAGGGTGTTGAGCTACTTCTTCAGAAAAGAGAATCAACTCCCGAAGCATTTCAATCAGAAGCCATGCTTTAGATTAATTTTTATTCACTACCTCACTCCAAATAATATTTGCATTAAGTAGAATGTAATTTATGAATATATATGAGTTCATGCATTCATAAAAATTATGTTATTTGCAATCATCACCAAAATAAATGCCTGTTTTTACTAAGTAACGTCCTGATTATATATTTACTTGGCAAAATATAGGTATATTTTTATTATGTGCAATACTTTATATGGGGTTTGAGTTGATCTATATCTACTAAGTAAAGCAGTACAAAATTGTAATTTTCTGAGTTTTTAGATGGTAATAAAACAACCTTGGAGAACACCTCAATGAGCATTACTAAAATATAATTTAATTCTAATCATAAATAGGTGTATAGAAAGAAAGAGCACTAGTAAAGATTTTATAGCCATGTTGGGAGACTGTATTTAGAAATGAAATGCATGCACTGATTACTTGGCATAATTGCCTGTTAATGTCATCAGGAACATTGCCAGGTACAATTGTTTGTCAACCTTAACCTCAACATCAGCCACGTTACCCAAGTATTTTCTGATATATTCTGTTTTGGAAGGGTAGCTGATACTTTTTCAAGTTGTATTTTTAAAAATCTTCTTAATGTACAGGTTCTG